TCTAGAAGGGCGGGAACTTATTGCTCGTTCAAAGTCTTCTCCCAACAGCTATATTATCCTACAGATGCACAATGAATAAACAAGGCCTAAATATAGGTACAAAAGAGGTAAGTGCCTAATAAAATATCTATTATATATTTTTTATTTCAAATTTAAACAATTTGTAATTTATTGTGAGTTAATATGTCATTAATTTTTAATTGCGCAATTTTTTAAATTTTGCAAAACATCCTTTATACGGTCATGGTAAATTGTGGATAAAAAGTAACGTAGAATGCCTTATGCGCCAAATGGTATTAAAAAAATATTTATGAGAAGATATTTATATAAATAATGAGATTATTTACGCATATGTCACAATTGGACCAAGAGCGACGAAACTTTTAACGAGAAACGACGCAAAGGTATTTTTATTCTCAATGGTATATTCGGGGGGAGAGGATGGACAAGCGAAATGTTAATAAACAAACTTGCGGTGCGTTGCAAATATTTTCTATAGATATAGGCTACGGTCAACGTGACGCTACAAATAATTTGAAGCCGTCCTCTTCTCTATTCTTTCAATAAAGAAAGAAAGAAAAAGAAGAAGAACACTTTAAAGCATTTGTAGCGTCATGTTTACCGTAGCCATAGAATGACGTTGTACGTGTGTGTGTGTGTGTGTGTGTGTGTGTGTGTGTGTTTGAGAGTATAGATATAGAGGAGAAATGGACGATATATTATTTCGTCTATTATTTGTCGTCTTATATGCGTTTTTATTTTTCTTTGATTTCTAAACAGATTAAAATTGCAACGAGGAAATTGAAGAAAACTATTACAAGCGGTGTAGCTAAAGTTTCAACGCGTGTAAAGAGACTAGTGGAAGACCGTGTAAAAAAAGACGTGCAAGATCGTTGCTATGCCGAATTGATGACAAAAATATAAGAATATGCTGCAACCATGGAGTTTCTGTTTCTTCCATTATGCATATATTGGCTGTCAGAGCTATGAGCCAGCGTTTGCCGGATACCAAAGAGGCCATGTTACAAATACCGCACGTTACCGAGGCAAACTTTGCTAAATATGGCAAAGCGCTATTGAACATTACGCAGAAATACGCGGCGGAAAAAACAGGTACGTGCTGGAGATAGCGTGAAACGCTACGTGACGTATATATCTGACATTCGTGATGAGATTCACGTTCATTATATTTTTTCAGCTATGTTGCTCGAAAACGACACGACGACGACCGGGATCAAGTGTACATTCACGTCGTCTGACATAGAAGATAACGATAGTATTGACACACATGGCGTAAAACGAAAGATCGACGATAGATTGACGGATAATATTTTCAGAAAAACATCCAAACGAGCTGCTGGTGGCTCAACAAGGTAATTATTTTAATAACAGAACAATTTACCATGTGCGCACATATAATGTATAAATATATTCATTATTACTTTCATCGATACACGCGTAACGCGCACAATGATTGTGTACGTAAAAGACAAAACAATCATAAACACAAACATGTAAATATGTTATTAAATTTATTTTGTTTCGGTTCATTACAGGGCACGCAGAGGAAAAAACTCCACGTCGACGACATCCACGAGAGAGGATTAATGAATATGGTATTCTACATAACTGTTCGACGACTTTCATTCTATATTCTAAATAACTCTTGTTAAAAAGAGTACAGAAACTAGAGTAAAAACTCAATCTTACGATCCTTTCAAATATTTCTAAACTCGCTGCGACAAGTAGTAGATAAAATAAAATACAGGAATAACAAAAATGTTTATTTGAAAAACATTTCTAAAATAATGAACATCATAGCCAGGCTATAATTAAAATTATACAAATTATGTTTGTAACATTTTTGGTTCGCATCTTTTAATCGGGAAAAAAAAGTTATTCCGTTTGAAATAATTCTCTTGATTACTTTCTCTGTATATATTATTGTATATAATTAGAATCAAGTATTTAATCGGCTATAAAAGAGTATTATGGCGGGATCTTCGCACTCGGAAGTCATTAATATATTTCGAAACTTATCTAAAAGTTGTAACAATTAGGATCTACGAATATTTTTTAAATACATAATCTCCTCTAAATGATAATCTTTGTCGAAATAGTCAGGTTGGTATAGTCTATCGAGTAATTTCCTGTCATTGGAAGAAATATTATAATCTTTCGATTGAAAGTTGTATCGTAACGCATCCTCCTTATCCGTGAGCGACAATTCTTCCTCATTGGTTTCGGTAGGCGTTCCTTTTGGCGTTTCATTCAAATTCCATGTGCTTTTGCTTTCTTCTATTCTTGCAATTGTATCATTCGTTTGTTGGTCCTGTGTATCCTAATATTAAGTATAAAAAAAAGTTTAATGAGACTGAAATATGTATTATATAATAAATAAAATCGAGTCATGACAATATTTCTTTTCTTCCTCCTTCTTTTCCTTCACCACTGTCATTATGATTGATTTATAATAGAATTGCACAATCGATTTACTATAAAATTATTATCAACATTACGTTCAGTCCGTGCAAGAGACTATCAAGAGATACGGTAGTACACGCGAAACGAAATCGCACCGTGACTCTTTTACGCGAACGCACGAATTGCCTGCAGTACTCGATATTTTGAGATCTCAATATAGTCTCTTACACAGATCGTTGAAATTAGATTGCGGAATTTATTTCTTTTACTATTTCAATTTTGTTTTGCTAATGTACATATATCAAATAATAAACTATTTATATTTCACTAATAATAAATTATACATTGTGACTTACCAATGATAAACGACCATATACCGTTGGTACGTATCGTACATATGTGTGCAATTGTAGAAGCAAATGATTTTTTAATAGCCATATGATTATCTATACTAATTGCGTTTACTGCTGCGGCTGGCTCAAAGGATTCAGCTTTTGGCTAATTGAAGTTGGTAGGGAGAAATCACTGATTATCTGAAAACGTACAAAATATAATATTTACAAAGTTTTATCAGTAATTCAATAATTAGGTACTATTTATGTTTTCTGGGAAGTGTTCAGAGAAAGAATTTAGCAACTAGCTAGTCAAAATAGCATTAGGGGAGACAAAATAAACATTGTTTTCGCAAAGTGGATAAATTATTGTAGCATTTGTCCAATAAACTAAATGACCAGTTAGTTGAAACTTTAAAGTCTGCAAACTTTTTAATGGATTGTATATTTGAATCAAACGTTTAAGTGCGAAAGAACAATTTATTTGCAAAAATTCTAACAAGTCCAATGGCTCAGTTAACAAAAGTATTCCATTATAAGGTCTTAAACTGTTTAAACATTTGTAAAACAGATTCAACGTTATATAAATTTATTTAAAATGGCGTACACGACCCACGCCCGCACACACACACACACACACACACACACACACAGTCATGATTATTCCTCGGAATAAAATTTCAGAATTAAAAATAAAAAATTGCAATATATTAGATTGGTCAATAAATCTGTGCGGTTTTTTACTTATAAATTTTACTTAGAAAAAACTGCACGGACTTATTGGCCAACCTATAATATATACTCGTAATTTTAAATATAATAATTGAAAAGTTTCGTATACAAAAAATCGATTAAATGTACCCTTTCTTGTAAAAGATGTAAAGATAAAATTTTCTATATAGAGTTAACTACTATAATAAAATTTCTTTATTCGCACATATGTACTTTATATATCTCGTATTTCAGATATAACAATATTATTTAACAAACCTATCTATAATCTCGAGATCTATAAGTAGTCTTTTTTTATGTGATTGATGAACTTTTTGCAAAAGACAGAAACGTACTTGGATTCACTTGTTAATCATAATATTGACAATGCCAGAAGAGCTGAGATTGCTAAACACGGACTTTAAACCACGTGCCAACGCGACCTTCTTTGAAGGATTAACTCATATGGTGATTGATCGCAGTCACTTTCACCTTTAGATCTAAAAGTATATAATTTAAAATAAAACATATGGCTATCAACTAAAAAAGAATAAACGAATAGTTAAGTTGTTCACTTTCCAGCAATCTCATCGTGTGTTGATACCATTATTTTTCCGACAATGTAAGGAACAAACATATAATAAATACTCTGAAATATTGCAAATTCGTAGTATAATTAATAAAGCAAATAGTGAAAGAAACAACACATATGTTTAAAATGAAGAAATATAAAAATTTTGTTAAAAAATAAAGGATATCCTGTAGTAAGAATTAAATGACAACCAAACATATAAATAATGTTTTGATATGAACGTAGTATCCAAAATGTTTTCGAATAATAAATACGGATACAATAATGACAGCGCACATATACAAGTATAATATAAATTAACAAAATTTCAATAGATAATAGATATTCTGGAGTAATAGTAATAGCAATAGGAATAGAAAGTCAAAATATTCCAAAATGAATCTTAGAATGACGATAATTAATTGAATATAAGCATAAGTATGAAATCAGCGAATATGAGCACAGGCGAAAATGAAATAGCATAAATATTATAACATGACAAATAAAAAAAATATCCAGAGTAAATTTTAAAAAATGGTAAGGCCAACGTAATTTTAATAGATTATAGATATTCTGGAGTAATAATAACGGAATGCTTCAGAATGTATCTAAGAATGACGATAATTAACTAAATATAATCACAAGTATGAAATTGGCAAGCATAACTACAAGTGAAACGAACGAAAATATAATCCGAAAGTATTATAGCAAAACGGAGTAAAAATATCTAGAGTAAATTTTAAAGAAAGATAAGGCATATAAAGAACAGACATAGTTATCTCGTCCGTTAGCTCATAGAATGTCCTCAGCGTTCTCAAGCAAGCGGGCAATACTTTTGCGTCATGTGCTCTTCCAAATATGCGTAAAACCATTTTAGAAACACGTGCAAGCATTTCCATGCAAAGTGCGGAGCAGAATATATTGCGAAGCGTAAAGCAGGATATATGTGTTGCGAGTGATATTAAATTGTAAATATATAATTAATAATCGGATAGAATCCGCTTGAAAAGAGTACACTATATATAGATACGTTCAATTTTGGAGCATATCTCAAGACCCAGCATATTCCCTCTCCTCGTTTACTCGGCAAGACATCGGCGTTTCAGGTTGGCAAGCCTTTTTGTTTCGACGCGCGCCGGTCGATGGCGTCCGCGACGCGTCATGGTTCTCGTACTCGCCGCGCGGCGCACCCTCTAGTGCATCAAAGATGGAGCGCTGTCGGCGCGGGCGCGCGGCGTAGGCTACGTGAACGCGGCAACGGCGGCAGTTGAAAATTATTTTGACGATAGGATAAGCGCGCGCGGGCGCGCCCGCGCGCGCATTGTTATCGTCGGCACGCGCACCACATATTTATGTAATGTAATTTTTTGAAATAAAAGTCGAAAGACACTCCAGTGTGATGATCAGCAACTTGAAGCTTTTACGCGAAGAGATGATAGCCACGCAGCTTGTCCACGGATACTCAAATTGCATCGATTTGATCCAAACATAACAATGGCGCATGTTGACAACGTTCAATGTTAATCTGTGTAGTTTCAAGGTAAGTTGTTGTCTGGGTATCTAAAGTTTTATGATTAAATAGGCGCGTGCGACATCCTTTGCATATAAATCACGTGGATAAGGTTTGAAATGTTAATAATTTAATTAGTCTGATCGCAAAATTCTCAATCATGTAGAAAATTTTTTCTGTACGTTCAGGTGTCCGGGCATTGAGCATTAATATTTTTCCGATCCGTGCCCTACGTATCTCTATATATATTGACTGCATACACACACACACACACACACGCACGCGCACGCGCACGCGCACGCCCACGCCCACGCCCACGCACACGCACACACACACACACACACACACACACACATATATATGAACGGAAAAAAGTTTTTCATCTGAAAAATGATATCTATCGAGAAACATCCATGTCCACGTTGCGGATTTGCTCGAGTTATTTCTCGTGTGTGTATATATACATGTGTGTATATTTATATTTGTGTTGTCGTCGTGTTCTTCAGAAAAAAGAAAAAAAAATGTCTATTGCCACGTTGCCATTCACCCATATGGAGTCACTCAATCTATTCGCACGCATCATGCGTTACAAGCAAATGTCGCGTGAATAACATATTAATTATGCATGTAAATGTTTGTGCGAACACGTTCGACACGCATGGTATCGGCAGCCCGTAATTTCAATATATGTATACACGGTGCTCAACACGTTCACGCGCTTGGACAT